CTGAGGCATATGCAATACTAAATTAGGAAGCTACAACTGTAGCTTCGGCTATTAGTGATTTCTTCTTCAGATTTGGTATGCCATATGAACTGCATTCAGATCAAGGCCGTAACTTTGAATCAGTTGTGTTCCAAGAATGTTGCAAATAGTTTGGCATCCGAAAGACCAGGACAACGCCACTTTACCCACAGTCTGATGGGATGGTAGAAAAGTACAACTGGACACTGGGACAGGAATTGGCAAAGTTTTGTAATAGCCGCCAAGATGACTGGGATGTCTTGCTCCCTCCACTGTTGATGGCCTATGGGACAGCATAGCATGAAACCACTGGATACACTCCAGCAAAGTTGATGTTTGATCGGGAACTTCGGTGTCCAGTGGATCTGTTAACAAGATGCCCACCTTATGAAGAGTTGCCTGAGAATGTGTCAGAGTTTGTGAAACTGTTATCGGAAAGGATGGATGATATTTACCATCACGTGTGTTCAAACTTGAAAACGTCTGCTGATTCGATGAAGTTAACTTATGATAAGAGATCTACTGAAGTCAGCTTTGTACTTGGAGACAAGGTATGGTTGTATAATCCCAGGAAGACCAAAGGGAAGTCTCCTAAGTTGTCTTCTCCATGGGAAGGCCCATATGACATAGTGGATCGTCTCTCAGACGTGACTTTCCGGATAAAATGTGGTCGGTGAGGTAAGCCAAAAGTGGTGCATGCCAACAGGCTTTGGCATTATCACGGCCTAGGACATTTCAGTTTGAACGAAGTGAACAACAGAACAAATGACGCTGCTGAAGACGTGTCACCTGAAAAAGCCAACATTGAAGAAGAAACTCTACTCAAAAGCTCTTGATGAAGTTACTACCACTGATGTGACTGTTATCAACGATAGGTTTTCTTCCGTACTGGTCTCCGTCTTGTTGGTTTCTGCTTCATATGGGGTTCATCTGCTTCATCAGGAAATGTTTAACTTAATTAAATGTACAGAATTACAAACACAAAATTACAATTCAACAAAGTCTCTTAATTTTATGGGACGTATTTTTAATTGTTATTGGTTTACTGTATGTGGGTATTGTTCGGGACGAACAATACTAAGGCAGGGGCAGTGTTGCGTCAGCAAGGTCACATGACTAGTGTCACGTCACGTTTCTAGAACTATCCTGTACCTTGGTGAATGCCCTAGCATTTACTAGATATAGGGTAGTCTGGTATATAAAAGATGGTCACAATGTGACGGAAGAATGTGTGTGTAGACAGTGAGTAATTGATCTGCAGTCAGAGAGTATTATTGAAGTTGAGCACGTTCGTTGTTATAGCATTTGTTTTAGCGCGATTGTTGAAATTAAGTGTATCGTAAAGTTATATTCGGAAAGAATAAACCAGTTTTATTAAATAAGGACTTGTGTCGCTAAAGTTTCGTCGGAACGAAGTTACGGAAAATCAATTAACGACTGGAGGCGTAACATTATTAAACATGACATTGAAATGCTTTAAGTGACATTTTTTCCAATATATGAAGTTTTTTTAATAATTTGATATTCACTTTTAAGGTACAAGTATAATACACTTGTTTGTGTTTTCATGCAAAATGCAAATGTTACACTTATTAGAAATATTAGAAAAAGCTCCACCTATACCACAAAATATTAGGAAATGTTGTTATACATCCCACAGATATTAGAAAAATTCCACATATACCACAAAATATAATTATAAATGGATAAAGAATTTTTAATTTTTAAAATACCAAGTAAACTTGTTATCATTGTTCTTCATTTCTGGAGGCTTTTAAACAAAGTCCACTAGGTGCATTACAGATTTACATAAAACATTTTAGGTGCATTACAGATCTACATAAAACATTTTAGGTGCATTACAGATCCACATAAAACATTTTAGCACTTCTTTTCTTAACCATACCAATAACACATACAGGTCTCTAATAAAAGATAGAAGCTAGAATAAGACTCAAAACACTTCCACAGTTTTGCTGTTTTACAGTTAAGCCTTTGAAAAAACTGACCCCAGTTTGCAATAGGAACATACCAGTTCAAACTCACCTATTTGAGTGTCCCTGAGTGTAAAATACAAGAAAAAATTTAAATTATTAGTAAAAGTGCACAGACAAAAATAAAGCCCACTTGTACTGGTTTAATAACTAAACAGTTATAAACATAAACAGTTCCTTGACTTACCTTTTTAACAGTGACTACTCTGACTCCTCGATACTGGGAGTATTGCTGTTCAGGTGTCTGGGGGGGAAAAAACATGGGTTTGCATAATTTATTGTTTTTTCAACCAAATAACAAACTACATTAAAATATTTGGAAATCAATAACAAAATTAATGATTAATAGTTTTGTATCAAACTAAAAAACATTCTATAGCAGTTTTACATGTATATGAAAAGTGAAAATGAAACTCATTAACTAGATTTTACTCACACTTTTAAGCAAAACTGTACAACAGACACAGCTTATCATAAGTATTTATTACATTACCTCCTCCTCCAAGTCAACAGGATAATGTACTAGAGGCTTGACTGCCATCTCTTCAACTGCATTCTCTCTCCTGCAATCAGAATACATAATAATCCATTTCTTAATGTTGTCAAATTAACATTTGATAAATAATAACTTTAAACAACTGTTCCTTTTATTTACCATATAAGTATGTTTCTATGAAAGTATATTATTTGGAATTCTGAAAACCACATTATTCAATAAGTTTAAATTCTGAGCTAATATAATTTCTTCTAACATATTTTCATAAATTATGTTGAAGATCATGATAAGCTATGGCTTAACAAATGTATAAATTTCAATCCATTTATTTTAAACACATTTCAGTGGAAGTTGATACAGATCTTTTAATGAGCAATATAATATCATGTATCAGTATGCAAACTTGGAAGATATGAAAAAAAGCTCTCATTCATCATCTGTCATACCTGAGCAAAATAATTTTATACACTGGTTCTGATAGATTCTTGATGATTGCTGAAACATTTAGGTGACATTTTCCTTGCATAACTAAGCCATTGACCTAAAGAGAAAAATACTGACTGTAATTGTTTTCAACATGTTACTTAAGTATTTTTCTAATAAATTTCTCTAGTAATTACCTAATTTAGCTAACTTTTCTTTAGCATACTCTACAGTTTACGTAGTTTATTCTCCAGGGTTAATCCTGAAAATATATGCCTTTTCGTGAAGATCAAATACCATGTAATGAACTATAAAACCAAAGACATGAGGTTTGAATACCTATATAACACAAAATAGTTTTTCTTTGGTATTACACTGTAACTAAGATGTTCATAGTTAGCAACAATGATGATTTAATGGTGAAAAATAAAACATGTTAGAGAAGAATTTTAAATCATTCTAGACAAATGGTGTTCTGAACTAAAGATTCCAACCTGAAATCTTATTAAACAGTTATAATCAGGAAAGCTATAAAGTAGTTGAATCATTGTGAACTAGTAGCTAAAACAAAAGCAAGTTAAATAGCTTTCTGGTAAGAAAAAACATATCTGATATATGATTTTAAAAAAATAATCAAAACTTCTACTAAAGTCATTAAATGATTGTTAGTTGTTCACACAGATGGATACATTTAATGTTTTTACTGTATTTATATTCATTAATAGAGTTGTATTTTTTAGAAAGTTTTCTCTACAAAGACACATGTATATATATGTATATGTAACTGTTAAAATGAAAGATCATGTTAACTCAATATCATAACATTGTTTAAGTTGATCAAACATCAGATATGAATAAATTTAGCCAAATTACTTTCCCCATATATTACTAAATATCAGAAACTACGATACATACAAATATGTAAAAATTATAGTAACATGTTGTCACTAGATAACACATGTACCTCTTCTACCTTTGTGTCATCTTTATTAAATTGAAGTACAGTTCAACAACTTGAGCTCAGGTATTTCAGAGGAAAAGAAATCATAAATAAAAAATATTATCCAATCTGAATGTTTTTTAATATTGTGATATCTAATCTAATATTTGCTACAAAGAAATATATATCTTGGACTGCCACACAACATTTAAACTTTTCTCTACAAGGTCGAATCGGACATAATTTTAACTTGCAAATGACCAATTATACTTCCCTACAGAAAGGAAACATCAGAAAATAAATTACTAAACCAATTTAAAAAATATATATACCAATGACAACTAAAACTTGAAAGTTTATCATAAAACTTCTATATCTACTCCCTATAAATACGTATGGTGTATAAACATTGAAGTTTGCTGAATTTATTGCTCTTTATAAGTATATATTGTTGCGTCAGCGAGTCACAAGACTACAGTGACGCCACGTTTCTAGAACTATCCCGTATCTTGGCGAATGCTCTAGTAATTACTAGATGGAGGGTAGACTGGTATATAAAAGA